TGATTAGTTAAATCATTAACCCAATCTTGTATGGGTGGATTTGAACTGCCAGGGGTTCGGATGTCAAACAGATGCTCTTATCTTAATATTTACTTGAGAAATTCACCGACTTCCTCTCATATAGATATTGATGTTTATTGACCCACTCTGCATATGCAGTTGGCTTTGCGTCCATCCTTTTGATTTGCTATCTTTATTCTGGCATGTTTACATCTTGCCAAGGAACAGCAAGTACATCACTCTACTTTGATGCTTGCAGAATGATTGAAACCAGGACTGCCTCTGCTGTACAACATCTCAAGAGAGGCTTCTTCTTGTATGTCTTGGCCTGGACTGCTCACAGATATGTATAGTATGCATGGAAAAACCAGGGGTGGCCAAACAGAAGCTGGAAGATACCATCTTACATGAGGTGGAGTGAGGAAAGACAAAAGTGAATTCTGATTGACTGAACACACCTGAACCATGTAATCAGCCAGTGGGCAGGGTAGGGATAGTTGGAAAACAAGCAGGGCAGCAGCCCTTGATGACTGGGATTTGCCACCCCTGGCGTAAACACTCGGACCAAACCCAGGTTGAAGTTGAAAAGGCTGAAAGCAGCAGCCAAGCAGGCAGAGAATTCCACTGTGGATTAACGGCTAAGACCTAAAATCCACTCCCACATTTCCAGCAGTCTCACGTGGTTTCTGCTCCACACAGAAAGCCACACCATTGTGGAATTATGAATTTGCATGTATGCAATACAATAGAGAATCTATTTGATTGCCTGCTGATCATGGAGATGTTTATTACTGTCGAGTTGTGAGATTAGGCTCTTAACAGCCAAATTAGCTTGTCTCATGAGATCAGATATGACAAGAGAAAGAGTTCTCTACTGCAGGATTCATTAACTTTTAGAAGAAACAGCAGTCTAAAGTCTTGGATTGAAGCTGCTCCTGGGCAGGCTGACTCAGAGCTTGCCCCCTTCTTTGCTCTCCATTACACAGCCAGCAACATAAAATGACTTTTAAATTTACCTATACACTTTTAGAGAGCTAATTAAAAATTACTTGTGTAATAAACTTCTTAACTGAATAGAAATAAGTAAGAATGAAGTGAGCTAATCAATTAAAACTAATCAAGACTCCTAGAGATCAAACACTAAGAAACAAATATACATTTAACCTCACTTAAAATGAAAAGATAAGGCAATTTGCTAAGAGCATCGTATTTAATGAGTATTTAGGTACCAGGGTGATAGACTAGTGTCATGGATAACAAAGGGACAGCTTGTCTTGCATTACCATCCCTTCTCTACAGACTTTGACTTATTATTCTTAGTATGTTTTTACACACTATAAATAAAGCTGTAACCAAGTGTGACACAAGTTTCTTCTGTTCTTTCTTTAAACATATGACCTTCAAAAAACAAAAGGAGTCATAAACACTACCCTTTCACCTTGTGTAGAATATAAGCCTATAGAAATGCACAAAATATACATTATGTGGTTGGGGTGACTGTGAATAGCTTTCCTCTGCAGTCAAATCTGAGATTCACTCTACAGACCAGGTGGGTGTAACTCAGTGATGTGGCACACTGAGCCTGTCCTGGAAATAGTGCTCCACTGTGGCCTGGCATTACACAATTATTGGTTCGTCTACTGCCACAGTTGACCAGGAGGCTGCCTACAATCTGGCAAACTAGTGAGCCAGCAGCTGAACCAGCTGTATAAAGCAAAAGCTTCACATTTCAGAGAGGAATCCATGGCACAGAAGCTGTCATGTCTCAAATCTCAACCTCTCAGTGTGAGTAAAGATTTAATATTCATGATGAAGTAAAACAAGTGAGGAATTCACAAGTGAAAGACACTATGTCTAAGTAGACCACCTGTGGCTTCTACGTCATAGAACATTGGAAAATAGTGCCAAACCTGCTAGTCCAGAAATGTCCCATTGTCTCAGAAAGGCAAACACAGTAGCTATATTTTCCCTAAACCTCACCGCAAAAAAAGAAGCTGTTGCTAACACGTACTTTTCCTCAGCCAGTGATGATGAATTAACACTCACACAGTCCCAGTGTGCTGTACAAACACAGCAGTGACAGTTCAGTGAGGAGCTGTAGGGTCAGGGTCTGAGAAGTGATGAACAGATGGTGAGCTGCTCTGTGTTTGCTGAACCACCCGTTACCTGCTGGTCCAGCACTTTGTAGAGCATGTTCTTCTTAACAGGCCATTTAATCTGATGTGTACACTAGTCTCAAAAATGCTTTAAACATTTATAAGGGGTCTGTGTACCCAAACTACAAACAGGTTTCTCAGTTAACTCTAGGAATGCTACGTGATAATTTTGGTTTTATTTTAGTCACTGAGATTTCTGCTTATACCCTAATACAATGTAAACTATAATTTTGTCTATGGCACTGGTAGCGTTAAAAAGTGAAATGTGAACAACTGATGAGCATCTTCTCTTTTCAGATACAATATTCTTGTTGACCTGGACAATCCACATACATAAACATGAACTATTTAACTTCAGCTGCTTTCTCCTGGAAAATAATCCTATGAAAACTGTTCACAGCAACTTTTGTGGATCATATTGAGCAACAAGTGTTTTGGTTAAAGACACATTCCTGTTGTTTTTCATGTTTTATTTTCCAGTGCTTTGAGCAACTTTTGTTAAATCCCTTTCTTTTTTTAAACTCTTTTTCATTATGGGGGTGGTAGAAGTTTCAAAAGCTGAGATCTTAAAACAATAGCACATAAAACCAAAACTATCTGCATGGCTAGATACTTCTAGGAGTTACTAAGAAAATGTGTAATTTTAATGAACAAATCATTTAAAGAGTGAATATAATTGGTTAAGAGGTGCATTATTTGAGGCTCAAGAAGTCCTCAAACAAATTCCTTTGTTTCAGATGTGAGATAACTGTTGGTTTATTTTATTTCTCAACTAAGATTATAATGTTCTCCTCTGGAACCCATCAGCACCACTGAGCCTCGGCTGGCCAGGCTAAATCTCCTGTAGCTACCGTTTGATGAAAACCAGCTGGCCATTAAAATGCAATGAGGCAGACCCAGAACATATGTTTTAGGCAGCATGTGAAAAACCATTAATTTTTATGCTGTGCATTAAGAGATGAGCATGGTGCCCACACGGATAGGTGACTGTGCAGGAAGGCAGGAAGCCATGCTGTTCCTTGACAGCAGGCAAAAAAGATTTGTTTTTCAAAGCTGCTTTGTACAGCTACTCAGATTTCTGTAGAATTACCAGTGCCCTTACAACATAAGTTGTTATAGCAACAATGCTGGCAGGGCATGCAAAAGGTTAGTTTGTCCATAATATCATTTGCATCAGCCTCGGCTGTACTTGTAAGCACATGCTAGCATGCTAAAGTAAGATGGTGAACATGGTAAACATCATAAATGTAACATTGTCATTGTGAGCAAGTTAACATGCTTCTGTTAGCATTAAACTCAAAGTAAATGCTGTGGCTACACACACCGCTTCAGAGCATCTAGCATGGTAATAGACTCATTGATTTGTTATGATGGCGTTTCTAAGTTGTGGTGACATTCGCTTAAGATATGACTTGTCCATGCACCCGATTGTGCTCCATTTTTTCCACTTTTTTCTTGCAACTTATGGCATCAAATCCACCTCACATCAGTGATCAGACACATCCCAAGTCTTTTATAAACCAGAGTTTCCCTCACTTGCATCTTTTCCTTGTGTCTTAGTCCCACAGGTGAGAGAAAAAATTGCAAGGAAAAAATTTGAGGAAAGAGGAATCAAGGAAACGCGTTATTCATGACAGGAGATGTCCTTTCCTTAAATTCTTCATTTACAGTGTTCAGTCACCAACTGATGTCCAATAAGGAGGCATGGTTTATAAAAGACTTCTGTGAAGGATGATCTCGTGTATCCTCGCTCATGGCTCCTCCAGCAGCATCCTCGCTCATTGTTCCTTGCTCATTAGAGCAGAGAGTAGATACAAGAGCCTTGGGATGTCCTTGATGCTAGCTCCATAAGCATAATGTTTATGCTTATGCTTATTGAAATGACTTCTGGGTTGAGGAAAATTGAGCAGTGAGGAATGATCATATAGAAAACCTGGGATGTACCCACTCTATAGTTTTAGAGATGACATTAATCCCAATGGATGAATAAAAATCACTCACTCCCACAACAGCCAGGGCAATTTTTCACCTGATTTGTCTTTTCTCTTCAGGTTGGACCTCCTCAACATCGACCAGAGAGAGGATAAAACCTCACCGTCAGGAAGCCAGTCCAACATTGCTATACCCTCTTCATCCCCTAGCCAATTCCCTAAACGGCTGCCCGGCTTCCTCGCTTTTCCAACCCTCGCATGGGCACGACCTAGAGAAGCCTCACAGATAAAGGAAAAGATGCCGAGAGTTCGTCGCAATGCCCACTCAGGTTTGCGAGGGGGTCACCGCTACCCTCATCATGCCCAACTGATGAGAGTGGGTTGTGTCCTGGGCACCTGCCAAGTGCAAAACCTCAGCCACCGGCTCTATCAGCTCATTGGTCAGAGTGGCAGAGAAGACTCATCGCCCATTAACCCTAGAAGCCCTCATAGTTATGGATGAGTTAGTTGACACCTTCAAGCACCCACAAGTCTATCTATAGCTCCATTTATTTATCTCTTAAGGTGTTACTGGTAGTCTTTGCATTAGAGTTTGATGTAGTAACTTAACTAATAACTTCTGTTTAATTAATATTGGTCTTAAAAGACTGAAAATGATGCCTCACTATTTTTTGTGCTGATTGATGGATTTGAAGATTTAAATTCAAGATCATAACTGACTGAATCCTTTTTGAAATTCCTTATTTAAGTTCTCCTCTCATCCTGAGAGCACATGCCTTTTGAAGGAAGCTGAAATCTTCTGATCATTCAGTAAAGCCAAAGCACCTTGGTTTGATGTTTTAATCCTGTTATAGAAGACTGAAGGCCATCCAATGGACTGATCCTGTCTGCCAACTGACCTCCTGTGGATCCTTGATCAACACTTAAGCCCCTAATGTGGATTTCAACCTGCACTCAGAGCCAGAGCTCTGTCAAAACCAGTGTATTCCCAGAGACTTTGTAAATGACCCACTAAACCCTTTTACGTCTTTTAATGCTCCCTTTTTTGTCAACTTTGAAACTCCCAGGTCATTTCACAACTGCATATGCAATTTCAGTATGAACAATGATAGCCCTGGAAGAGTCCATGAACTTTCAATTTGTCACTCAGCAGGACTTTCTGGACCACAGCTTACATTTAACTTGGGTTACACTCAAGTTCAAGAAAATTGTGAGTCTGGGTTTGGAAGGAATGTGAGTGCCCAACGCATCAGTTTGTGTAGGTGGCAAAAGGAACCTTCAAGAGACTAACCAGTGCTGCGTTGCACCGCTGCTGGCATTTTCCTCACCAGAGGCCATGTTGGAAATATTAGCGTTTCCCCCTGCAAGTTGTCCTGGGTTGACACCAGGATCACTTCTGTCATACATGTACCGTCACAGCAGGGGAGGGGGGGCTCTGAGCCTCCTGTGGTCTTGCTCCCATGGTTGAATGTTCTAATTGTCATTTTCCAGGTGCTGTAATCAACACAAACAAAATTCCAGCCACCTCCATTTTTTGGGGTGGATGTAGACATCTAAAATACAAATATTTCAAAACTTGGTCAAGTAAATCTAAAACTTTGCAAAAGAAAATATTTTTGCATTTGTAATTTAAGTGAACCAGACTTTTAGGTAGTTATATGCCAAAAACAAGAAATTCAAAAAAGACACTGGGATGATTTGTTATAGCAAGGGACTAATTAAGCAAAGTAAACTTAGGGAGTTTTTGGAAAACGGCTTCTGAAACTGAGAAACACTCAAGAATATCTCATATTGTTCTTACAAATTCAATACAGTTTTCTTCTTATGACCTGGTGTTCAAATTAAGGTAAACACATGAGATGTTTTGGGGCATCACTGTAAGCATTTTCACCTAATTGGAGGTCATAATGGCAGTTCAGCATTAGCCCAGTCTTCTAATAGAACACACATGCCTGTGTATATTGTGCTTTGCAGTAATTTTTAATTAGAATATGTAAGAAAAAGTCAACTCCCCTTTACTGTTACATTGCAGGCTTCTAATGAGAGACCACAGTGAACACAACATTCAGTGTGAGAGAGCCCAATTTCAAATTTGCACACAGAATAGTTGCATCAAAAATGCATGGCCTGACATTTCCTTCTCTATTTATATGTGCCTTTGAAATGATAGGTGGATGATGGACTGAAGTCAGGCTAATGCAAACATTTGGCAGGCCTTAAACATTCTAAAAACTGCAACCAAATGTACAGAAGCCTGTATTTTTGTCAACATTTACATACCTCTAAACTTGTATTTGAAGACATAGGTGTGTTCTCAACTTGAAAGAGTGATTGAATGTGTCATAGTAGGAATATAGACCAGATTGTGTGCCTACTTTCTGATTTGTGTACACAGACACTTTGATAATTTCTTGTTCAGTCTGTTATTTCACCTATAATTTCACAAACAAAAGTTTATTATTCCTAAGTGCATTAAACTCGCCAAATACCTGGTAATACTTGACAAAATGAATGAATTTATAGTATGTGATCTACATCATACAACAATGTGTTCTTTTATATAGAATTATATGTGTTTCCTGTCTTTTGCCCAGTTCCTTTTTCATCGTCAGTTTCTTCTTACATGTAGTCTCTCAGCCCCATCTTGTCTCTCTTTTCCAATTCTGTCTATGACAATAGGGGCCTGGGGGTCACAGGGTAATAATTAGCGGTTCCTTAGTCTTAAATTTAAGCTGTTCAAAGGCTTGCTGTGGTGCAACGTGCCATTCTTTCTGCAGTGCTGGAGCTAATCAATATCTCACGACAGATAATTAAAAGGCTTTTCAAATGCAGAAAAACCCTGGTGGATCTTTCTACTTTTAAAAGTGTACTATTTCATATATGCATTGTGTGTTTGAGCTGCTCTGGACCATTGTACTCTCAAAATGTTTTGTGACATCAGGCGCTGCATCATGTCAAGTTGTGTGAGTAAACTGCATGGCAGCTCATACCTCCCCATAGAAACATCTAGAGCTTTTACTGGCTCTGTTGCAAAGTCACACAGGACTGGGTGCAGAGTTAGCATGCAAAAATGTTTCTCTTAGTTTTGTAACTAGACCTCATGATGTTTGTTTTTATTTTTGAAAGTCACATGATCTCCTTTAGGGTCACAGGAAAGCACTTTAATGCAAGCACGTGTAGCGACAGTTTCTCTTAACTTGAATTTCACTTATTGTAATGAACTTGTGAAAGTTGGATGAGGTTTCTCTCTTAAATGCTGCCTCTGAGATTGTCTGCAAATGTGTTTGAAAATGTCAGTGCAGTCCATGTGACGTCAGGATGACTGTGAATGTCGTGCGCATCTATAAAATATATTCAGGCAAACTATTTAAGGAAAGTTATGTATTTAAGTTATCTTTGTAAATTAATATTTATGTGTCACCAAAGACGATCTCATCTTTTTTGTCTGCTTCCTAAACATGACTTTATGGTAGAAAAAGAGGTTTTAGCTGTAGTTAAAATGTTACTGTTGACAGTGTCTTTCACTTTGTAAAATAAAGAAGTATACTGTGGTGTGATGGAGTACTGAGTGTGATTTAAGAGTGTATGTGTGTGTGTGTATGCATTCCTGAAGCGCATAAAGACATACATGATAGAATTAAAGGTATATAAAATGCTTCATGAAAAAGTCAAGATATATTATTCAGTAATTTTTAAGTCTGTTCCACTCTCCTCATGTCACTTTGTGCTTGACCAAACAGTTGTGACCCAGTAATCCCCAGAGAAGTCAATCATTACATGACAAAACTAACAAATGGAATGGGGGACAGGGGACAATGTGATGTGTCAGACATTAAGAACCGCATGATCTGACAGCAGTCACACCATCAGTAAAGGTCATGTGACTAGGCAGAGTTAATGAGTCACAGAGGGTTTAAACAACAACAGCAACAGACAAGCTGTGCAGTTTGTTTAGCATCAAAAAGAGAACAAAGGGGAACAGGAGGAGCAAGGTTTTTTTTTGACAAACTTTTAAATTCAACACTGGGCTTGTCATAAGTAGTTCTGGGGAATATAGGTAACTCAGGTAGAGACACAAGGCAGGCTGAGAGAAGGTACGGTATCAAACCATAGATAACTGACTGTAAAGTTATAGTCTAGTGCCTTTGGATCACTTGATCACAGTCAAAATGGCTTTCATCTAGCTGTATGTGCAGCTACTTATCCAGGCTGGCCTGCTGATCCAGCTACTGTACGAGTCACACCCAGCTACATCTCACAGAACTCTCCAAAAGTAGCTTTAGTTGTCTTTTAAAGTTAGTGAAGTTACACCAAATGGTTTTGTAATAGTTGTAGTTGTATTTGTAGTATAATAGTTAAGGATGGCCTCTCAGGCTACTGAACTGTACTATTGCATTAATCATGATTGTTACTTACCAGCTGGTAAATTAGTTGTAGTAACTCTATTTGCAGATCTGCCATTTATAAAATGACCATTGTCCATCCATGCAGCCCATTCCTGTGAACATGATTTCTCAGGAACGCCTTGAGGGTATTTCTTCAAATGTGGCACTTGTATCCAAGGATAACCTAATTATAATTTGATGGTCAGAGGCAGTGCTTTTAGCTTCAATTAGGCAACATGAAACAGATCTGGCCTCCTGTGTGTTTCCACGTGGTTTTAAATCACTGTAATAGGGCATCTATCTGTAGTCACTTGACCTGACCAACAGTTTAGTTAGTGGTTTAGTGTGCACACAGTGTGCTTTTGGTGCTCAATATGATACTATAGCACTTCTTTTTTTAGTACTTGAAAGAGGCTAGTTATTTTTCTGGTCCAGCAAATGACATGAATTCTTCAGCCTCTCATTATATGCAACTCCAAGACAGTAAGAATGAACTAAAAGCCTCCACTGGAAATGTGAGGAGAGATATGTGTGATGTGAGGTGGCACTGGTATGTGGCTGGCTGGCTGACACACATCAGCTACAGACAGGACCATATGTCAACTCTTACTGGTGAACCTGGTTCTTACGTTTTATCACTGTGTATATTACAAATACTAAAAAGTGATAACAAAAAAGCATGGGGAAAAACAATCATAATATAATTTTAATTGTGTTTTATTAATATATGCATTTTAATGTTGTATCTATATGTGGGCATTGTGTTAAGTACTTTGTTTTATGTATGAAAATGTGGTGTTTAAATAAACCTTTCTTACCTTGCACTTTCATAAAGTTGGGGGATAAAACAAAACAAAACAAAAAAATTTAACAGAATTTGTCATGTTCCAGAAATACCAGATCTAACAGTAATTGGGTGTTGTTAAAAAGTGTGTAATTGCCAAAAACAAAAATGTTTTTACAAAATTAAGTGAGATGTAAAAGTTTATAAAAGCTAAATACAACAGAGCAATGGAAACTGACTTAATAAATATAAATAAATCATGGCATACTGTACATGAAGTGTGACGTAGAATAAGCAAGAGACTATAAATAGTTAGAGACCACATCAGACTTCATCAGTGATGAAGAGGCTCCTCAAATTCATGCATGAAAAACATATGTTCACAATGTTTTTTATTTTGTTTTTCACCATTTGAGCTTTGACTGTTGTTTGACATCTTCTTGGCAAAATAACCCCAGAGGACAGAGACATGTATTAAGCATGTTCCACCATAAGCTGATTTGAGTTGGTATCATTCAAATAATTTATTTCTATCATCATTGTACAAAATAAATAAAGAAACTCACACCACCTGACTCTGGCTGCAGATTTGTGGCGCTGTGATTGTACCGCTTTTCACCATCCATGCTACTGCAAATATTTTATGTGGCTTCACTTTGTGAACAAGAGAGCTTTTCTGCCCTTTAGCCCAGTTAAATTTTCACTCTGCTTTCAGGTGTCACATTCTGCAGTTATCTGGTGTCAGGTGATTTTTGCTGAGCCATGAATAATGGCAGTGAGTCACAGGTTTGAGCACGAACATGTTACTGTAATTAGCAGAGGAGGCAGGGCAGGGATTTGAAATGAGAGAAAGGTCAGTGTCCCCAGGGATCCACAGTACAATTACACTGATTCATATAAAAAGCACATATACACACCTACAGAAGAGAGCAGACTGAAATATGCAAATATCACAAGTACTAAAGGAAAGTGCTGCTCATAGACTCAGTGTAGACAATACAAGCAGGCAGGAACACAGGGAACAGGCTGTGGTTGTCATAATACACAACCACAGGAGGAAGATGCATTTTGGCTGCAATAGTATTTCGGAAAAGCATAATTTACCTCCATAGATCACTGTTTTAAACTTGATTGTGTGGGTGGAAACAAACGTAGGATAGCACAGTCCCGCAAAACATTTCAGACAGCTCATGTTGGGGAAAAGTCAACATGACGCTGCAATCACATGTCCTCCTAAATACTGCCTGTTCCACATCTGTGCAGACTGATTGGCTGTAATAGCATGGTGTAAATTTAGACATTCATAGGTTTTCAGGGTGACAGGGACTGCAGCATTCTAAGGTGCACAAATAGGTGTATTACACACACAAAATAGGAAAGCCATTATGAAATTTTCTACAAGTCTTGTACATTACTGTGGACACACTTCCCCAAATTTCAGCCACTAACATTTGGTATCTTTCGAAGCTTTGGAATCTCTGCTAGATTTTATCACAAGCTGTCAAAATGAGGCATAGTGGCAAAAAAACTCCATTCAGTACACAAATAAATGTACTGATGACTGCCACTGGATTACCTAAACAAATGGTGGTATATGTAGAATTATAAATCAAAGCCATTTAAATTTGTATATTTGATGTGTTACCACCTGTGGGTGAAATACAAACAGATCTGACAAAGTGAGTGTGTATATGTGCACAGCTGGCCACTGTAGTTTTTAGCAAACATTATTCAAACAGGAAAAAATGTGGCGTTTGTTGGGAACTATTTTCAGTGGCAGAATAATCTGCATTTGGTGCATTAGTCACTATATCCAACCACAGGATGAAATGTGTGGAACGAGTCAAAATAACTGACAGTGTGTGTTGATGGTAATGACAGAACATTCATTCAGGGCAACAATGCAGCTATCTCATGTATTTTTAGTAGTTTTTTTCTAGACAACACTGGAGCTCTGTTGCACATATGAGGATGATAACTTACACTTTGGATACACACAAAATACCTGTTAGCAGAATACTTTCATTGTGTTTTGCTCCAGAGAACATCGCTGGTGCAAGAGAGGAGTCAAGGAAGCTATATTTGTAAAAATAGAACACCCCTCACTAAATAGGGGTGGTGGACTAAGACACAACTTGTCATCCATCTACAATCCTGCTTTGACATCTCTGCCCAAACATGCCCACCAGGACAATAGACGTCAGTCCACAGGTGAGGGTTCAAAGACAGGTAATGATGTTCACCGATACTGGGCTATAGGGACTCAGTTGTTAGGGGACATCCACCGATGGGGATAAATATCTCCGGCTCAACACCAGTCGGGCAGAACTGATGAAGCCTCTCTGATGAGAGGTGAAACGTCTTCGACCTAGAAGTTTTTTCAGCATGCAAAGGTAAGTTAGCCTTAGCTGAAGTTATGGGCTCAGTATTAGCATCAGGACACTTGTCAACACTTGAGTGCATGAATTTAGTTTATCCCACTGAATGGTTCAGTTAGTCACATTTGTCATTAAGTTTGTGAAAAATTCAGTTGCTACAAGGCAGCAAGCTACACTGTAGTGAGATAATGTTTTCATGTTGTGCTGACATATGTGATTGTACACAACTGTAGTTTGTGCTGCTCATTTTTATGACATATATTGCTTTTTGACTTGTACTTGTCTCTCACCCTAGGCAGTGGCAGAGGGTGTTTGATAAGAGGCCTCTTCAAACTACTATACAGCAACACAGAGGATGCATGAGCATAGAGGAAGAATGCCTGGAGAGGGGATGACAGGTCTTCCTTCATGGACCTGTTGGCCAGCACCACGCTAAGGCAGCCTCCACCCTCACCTGTGAGCACACCTGCCCAGCAGGAGCAGCAGAGTTCGGCTGACACCTGGCCTCCCAGCTCTTACACTGGAGTGAAAACTAAAATTCAGTGTTCATGACATAAACACAAGGACAGTGAAATAAAGAAATGCCGAAATTTTGTTCAACACTTCTGAAGTTTACTCTTGTGATGTGGTTGGCCACTCATCTGGGACTTCTTCTTCTTCTTTCAGCTGTTCCCGTTAGGGGTCGCCACAGCGAATCATCTGTTTCCACCTAACTTTATCCTCTCATCCTCTACTCTCACCCCAGTTAACGTCATGTCCTCTTTTAGCACATCCATATATCTCCTCTTTGGCCTTCCTCTTGACCTCTTGCCTGGCAGCTCCATCTCCAACATCCTTCTACCAATATAACCACTATCCCTCCTCTGCACATGTCCAAACCATCTCAATCTGGCCTCTCTGACCTTGTCCCCAAAACAGCCAACCTGAGCTGTCCCTCTGATGTGCTCATTCCTAATCCTGTCCATCCTGGTCACTCCTAAAGAGAACCTCAACATCC